TTCAAGATGCTTTGGACAATGTTAAATTGATTGAGAATCGGCTTCGCATGCCGCAGTCTAGGCGGAAGAGCTATACCGATCGGAAGGTTTGTGATGTTGCTTACATGGTTGGGGAGAAGGTTCTGCTCAAGGTTTCACCCATGAAGGGTGTTATGAGGTTCGGGAAGAAGGGCAAGTTGAGCCCTCGGTATATTGGGCAGTTTGAGGTGATTCAGAGGATTGGAGATGTGGCTTACAAGCTTGCCTTGCCACCTAGTTTATCGAGTGTGCATCAGTATTTCATGTTTTTATGCTCTAGAAGTATGTCGGTGATCCATCTCATGTTTTGGATTTCAGCATGGTTCAGTTGGATGGTGATTTGACTTACGATGTGGAGCCGGTAGCCATTTTGGGTCGGCAGGTTAAAAATTTGAGGTCAAAGGATATAGCTTCAATGAAGGTGATGTGGAGAGGTCAGCCAGTAGATGAAGCTACTTGGGAGACCGAGAGGGAGATGCAGAGCATATATTTACACCTATTTGAGACTCCACGTATGTTTCTAGACCTGTTCGAGGACAAATGTTTGTTTAAGAGGGGGAGGATGTAGCGATCTGGCCAGTCGTTTCGAGAGTTGTATCCCCATTCCCCCATTTACTTCTCATTTTATGTCTTACAGTTGTTATGTCACTTGTTGAGGTAGTTGGTTAGGGTCCGGAGAGATTTTGGAATGAATTGAGACACTTAGTCTTAAGTCTAGAAGCCTAAGTTGGAAATGTTGACCGGATATTAACTTATGTGTAAACGACTATGGAATGGAGTTTCGATGGTTCTATTAGCTCAGTTGGATTATTTTGGACTTAGGAGCGTGTCTGGATTGTGATTTGGAGGTCCGTAGTTGAATTAGGCTTGAAATGACGGAAGTTGGAAATTTCAAAAGTTTGACCGAGAGTGAACTTTGTGGTTACCGGGCTCGGATTGGGGTTACTGGAGTTAGAGTGGGTCCGTGGTGTCATTCGTGACTTGTTTGCAAAATTTGGGGTCAATCGGACGTGATTTGATAGGTTTTGACATCGTTTGTAGAAGTTGGAATTCCTTACTAGGTGTTTGGACATGATTCCAATTTTTCTTTTCAAATTTGGAATTTCAATAAAATTTGAATTGAATATGAAGTTGTGTTTGGTTATAATTTTTGCAACATATTTGGATGTCTTTTTTTTCAAGACCATGAAACATGATTAATACCCCACAACTTGTAAAAACTATCAAAATCACCCCAATTTGATTATCCTACTTGAAATAAAAAATCGAAATGCTATTTTGTTTTGATGAAGTACGTGAATATTATTAGCCAAAGGCATCAAGAAGATGCAGATGTTACAAAGAAAAAGAAGTAGCAGCCCAAAAAATCAACAAAAGATATATCATAAACAATCAAAATGCTATCGTTTAAAAATATGAGGTAAATTTGTAAAACTAAAAACTAGGAAATTCCCATTTTCAATTGAAAATAGATTTTCAAGTGAAAAATGAAAAAATGATAAGAATTGTATGTCCAACCATTGTTTTCAAATTTTTTTTAAAAGCAAAAAATTGTATGTCCAAATGGGCTCTTAGTTTCAGTAGCCTTGAATTGGAATGAGATTCACATTTTTGATGTTGTTTGATGGGATTTGAGTGCTCGACTAAGTTTGCATCGTGTTTTAGGACTTGTTGGTATGTTTGGTTGAGGTCCTGGGGGCCTCGGGTTGATTCCGGATGGTTAACATATTAAAAGTTAAGTTTTAGAGGTTGTTGTAGCTCAAGCCTTCTGGTGCAATCGCACCTGCGGAGGTTTGGTCGCAGGTGCGAGTTGGGAAGCGCAGAAGTGGAGGTTGGACTGGGGGCTGAGGAACGTAGATGCGTAAGGGACTCCGCATGTGCGGACTCGCACCTGTGCGTGGAGGATCCCAGAAGCGGAAAAGGACTGAGGAGGCTTGTCCGCAGAAGCGGATGGTTTGCGCAGATGCGCGCCCGCAGAAGCGGGGATTGCGACTGCAGAAGCGGTTGGTCGGCTGCAGCTAACTGACTGCAGAAGCGGCTAAATGAGCCGCAGAAGCGACAATGCCTGGGTAGATTAATTAAAACGAGGGACCCGAGATTTTTACCATTTTTAACATTTCAAGCTCGAGCTAAGGCGACTTTTGAGAGATTTTTCGAGGGGTTTCTTGAGGCAAGTCACTTGTGCTCATTTTTATTCAATAATCTTGTTTCCCTATTGATTTTCCCACCTAGATTGTGTGGTTTTGAAGTGAAATTTAGGAATTTAAGACTAGGGATTTGGAGAGTTTAATTTGGAGAGTTGGGTGGCGATTTGGTGTCGGATTTTGGTAAATTTGGTATGGTTGGACTCGTGGTTAAATGAGCTTTAAGGTTTTCTCACTTTTATCGGGTTTCGATACGTGGGCCGTGGGAGGGGAGCTTTGAGGCGACTTTTGACTTTTGATTAATAACTTAGTATTTTTTTATGGAATTGATTCCTTTAGCCCGTGTTGATTGTATCGAATTGTTTGTGGCTAGATTTGAGGCATTCAGAGGCCGATTCGTGAGGCAAAGGTGTGTTGGAGTAGATTTTGCATGGCTTGAGGTAAGTAACACTTCTAAACTTGATCCCGAGGGCACGAAATCCCGAATTTTGTGTTATATGATTGGTGTTGAGGTGACGCACATGCTAAGTGACGGGTGTGTGGGTGTGAAACGTGAGAACTGGGACTTGGTCGATTCCATGGAACTGTATAGTTGATTTATCTTGTTGATATCCGTACTTTCATCACGTGATAAAGTAATTGAGCTGCCGATCATGCTAGAAATCATGCTTAGGCTATATAGTGGTACTGTTGGGACACATAGTGGTTGTTCCTTGCTATTGACTTATTAATTAAATTGAAATCTCATACTCAGTCATATTTACTCATTACAAATCATATCTCAGTCTTTGTTGCTATTATCATATCATCATTTTGGGCTAGTTTCATGATATTGTGAGCCCGAGAGAGATTGATGGCTGGGTGAGGCTGAGGGCCTGATTTTGAGTGATATTTATGGGACCGGGCTACACGCCGGAGCATGTTTTATTGATTTATGCCTGGACCTGGCTTATTATAACGCTTGGCTGAAGGAGCTCCTCCGGAGTCTGTACACACCCCCAGTGAGCACAGTTGATTTATATTGAGGGGTAGTTCTTCCCTGGATGTGGCTCTTGTCTGAATCATCTATATTTGGGGATGAATCTTCCCCAGGGCTGGATTGGCCTTATACAATACTGAATGACCGACTGTCAGTTGATGTATATATGTACATGATGGATCTTCCCTGGGCTGGATTAGCCATATACAGTACTGAGTGATTGAGTATTCTGAGAGTGTGAGTACATGAGGCTTTCAGCGTGGTGCATCACATACAACATATGCATTGGCATGTAGATGTAGAGAGGTCATACTCCTCATATCATACAAAATTGATCTATTTTACTTGAATTGAGTTTAACTGTCGAATTTGAAAGCATGCCTGTTTAACCAGAAAATAGGAATCTCGGTCAAAGCGTAATTTTAGAAGAACTCGGGTTACTGATAATCGAATAATAAATGATTGTGTAACAAGAAAAGAAAATTTGGATTGATAGAGTAACAGAGTAAGCAAGTTTAATGCAATGTAAATAAGTATATTCCAGCAATAATCGGTGTCCCGTACAAATGTTATTTCTCTCCTTTTATAGATATTTCTAAGTACTATGTTTCTTTCCTCTCATAATAGAGTCATTATGAGCAATTAATGACATTGACGTGATGTTATAATTAACAAGCGTAACTGTTTCGTTAAGATTCTATAACGTTTCCTCTCATTGATGCTCATTAATTGCAGATAATACATATCTGTACTTTTTGCTAACTAGGTTCATTCTTCCGATGTCTCTTCAAATTATCAAGAGATACGAGTAACTGTTCCTTCTTATTTTCTGGTATTCTTGCCCGTACCAGTTAAGGCTCACAGCTCTTTGAATACTCTCTACCTATTGACACTCTTTTATTAATCCACGTGTCTTGACATGTCAGCACATGATTAAAATCAAAAGTTAACTTGATTTTCCCCGATACAGTGCCTACATTCCTGTATTGTTATTTCTATATTGAATTGTACCTGCTAAGTTCGCCACCACCTTTCAGTTCAAAGGTTAGATTTGTTACCTATTGAGTTGGTTGTACTCATGCTACACCCTGCACCTCGTGTGTAGATCCAGGTGCTTCCGGTCACGGCGGTTGCTGAGTTGTGGAGTTCGATCATCGAGGTTGCTGCTTGGCGTTCGCAGACCTTGACTCTCCTCCCTTATCTTTCAATTATTTATCTAGTTTACCTTATAGACAGTGTATCAGACTATGTCATGCCGTAGATGCTCATGTACTCGGTGACGCCCCGGATTTGAGAGAGATCTGAGTTATGATTTCCTTTTCTGCTTTTAAAAGGTTTTTTCGTAAAATTAACTGCTTTCGTAACTTTCAAAGCTTTAGAGTGTTGAAAATGTTTGAGTAGTCAGCTTGCCTAATTTTTTATTAGGCGCCGTCACGACGGGTTGGTTTTGGGTCGTGACATTGTATGCATCTCAATAACTAATACTTCATTTGCTCCATTTTTATGTGATAAATATTTCCTTTTTAGTTCATTTTAAAAAGAACGATCTAAATCCAAAATAACTGACCTAAAATTATCATTTTATTCTTAAGAATATTTTGTAATCACACAAATATCTATCGTCAAAAAAATTTCTTTTTTTGTTATGCTCCGTAACAACTCAAACTTTATTACATAAAATAAAATAGTATTTATCGATGGAAACAATAAGAAATAGTTACAGTAAGTTAGCATATAAATATACAAAATTCATATTTTCGAATATTTAAACACAAATTACATTCATTTGGGCACGTACTTTTTGGCATGGGCAGTAACAAAACTATTTTAACTTATCCAAATATAAACATAAAAAACATTTGGATGTTGCGGGCGCAATTTGAGATTTAGAAGGACGAAATTGCACCTTCGCTAAAAGTTTGGGGGTCAATACGACTTCCAAACGAGAAGTAAAAACCTAGTAGGCCGAATAACTCCCCTGAGTCCGACTTCAAGCCAACTCACTGAACTGACTGAGTTAATCTCCGGCGATCTCGCAATCGCACTGACCTCCATTGCAGGTACTCCAGTTATCATTTTCTCTTATACTCTAATAGAAATACATATATGCAACCAACACTTATGTAAATGCAAATTCCGAGGTTTAAATTGCTACATTTTATGGAATTTAAAGCTAAAACAGTTCGATTAGCGATGATATGAAGTTACTGACAGCTAAAAATTGGTATCTGTGAGCTGCCAGTATGAAGAAGTTCCTTTTTTTCTGATCTATGTAACTATGTTTTTGGAATGATATGTTCAAAAAGGTATCACTTGAAATGATGCGGCTTTTCATGAAAGCATGGTTTGTTAAAATGACTGTTCATAAAAATGTGTCGTTGTTGGTTTATAAATAGTAATAGTAAGGATGAATCCGCAATTCATGTCGTTGTCAATTTGTAGAGTTTGCAGTGAATCTCTACTGGAGATATAAAGTGAATCCTCAAAGCTATGATGAGAGAATTAGGACATTGTTTGGTATTTCTAACAACAAATTTCTAAATTTTTTGTTGTATTGTCAGAGAGTCTTGCCATTATCCTGTTAGTAAACCTTGTAGCGGGGCAAATAATTTGCTAAAGAAAACCATTAAATCATGCACCTAAGCATTAACTCCTATTGTTGTTTCTATAATCTTATTCATCTAAGCCTTTTGACCAACGATACTCACATTAATAGATTGTGCTTTCATTGCATACCTTGAACTGGATTACATTTGAAAGGGGTAGCAAATTATACATGGTTCTTCTTTAAGTGTATGTTAAATCATATCCTTCATGTCCTCCCCTCCCTAATAAAAATTACCAGTACTGGAAGAATTCATTTTTTGATTTAGAAGAAATGTCAATTCCTATCTTATTCTTGTCCAAAACCGACATTCGTGGAATACAAAACAACAATAATCTGTGGGGCAATTGTCTTTCAGTTTTTTTTTTCCTTTCAGACTTTTGACTTTTGACCTGGTCATGAGATACTAGAGTCCTTTAATTTGACACTGTAAGGGCACTGGATGTGCCAATTTTCCCTCAATTGAAATTTTTTAGTGCCATAATATAATTTTAAAAGCGAGATGGAGTGAGATAAAATCAGACTCGCAATCCATTTAGTAGAACTCTGACCAGATAGAAGAAAAAGTTGTTAGCTCGTACCATATGCTGTCAGGAAAAGACACATGTTGAGATTCCTTTTTATTGATTGATGTGAAGGTAAATTGGAATTCCTTTGAATATTGTACTAGTAGTACTTATATACTTAGTACTAGTGGCTCTAGCACTTATGTGGACGGTTTGGAGGGAGAGAAATATCAGAGCTTTTGAAGGAGTAGAAAATGATTTTTTATACTTGAGGAGTAGCCTCTTATCTCTTATCGCTTTTTGGTGCACCCGCATAATTTCCATTTGTATAGAAGACTGAGTGACTTGTAGAAAATCATTTCTTTTTGTAAGGTTTTCTACTTTTTGGTATTCTTATTGTATACAGGTATTTTTTTGCCCCCTTCATCAATAGAATTTTGTTACTTCATAAAAACAAACTTTTTAAAAGTGGTTTGCTAGGTAAGTGAAGGCATCTCTTGCGACTTATGAAGTTGATCAAATGTCTTCTTTCTAGTTGTCAATGTGTTGTGATAGTATATTTTGGAAATAATTAAGGTTAAATATGTAACTATAAAGATATGGAGACCAACTCCATGTTGTGGTTTTTCGACAGTTTGGAGAGAAAGAAATATGTTTGAGAGCAAATCTATATCTATTGATATGTTGAAGTATAGATGCTTATGTAACTTAGCTTCATGGTATAATCTAACTGATATGTTTGATGAGGGTAAACTAATAGAATGTGTTAGCTCTTTGCAGGAATGGCTGCTATAATCTTTGAAGTTGTATTGCTCAGCACCATCTTAGTGCCGGTGGCTTTTGATTTCAATAAAAAATTTACTTTATCAAAAAGAAAAAGAAATATTATACCTGCTAATTTTCATGCCTCCCCATTCAATTCCATATTATATTTTGATAAGGTAAATATTCTTGATGGTGGGGAGGAAACACTTAAGTTTACAAGTGCTATACAAGCAAGTGGACAATCTACACTAAAACATAAGAAACATCCTTTATGTTCTGCTTTTACATTTCTTACGAGAATTCTTCTTTATTCTCCTTCAAATGTTTACGACTCTTGTCTTGTAAACCACTTGTATACCAAGGGGATCCTTGGAATATCAATAAAATATTACTTTATCTGAAAATGTTTCCAACTTCAGTTGTGCTACTAAGAAAATATCACGATGTGTGATGAAGTTTCTGCCTATGCTTTTAAGAAAATATTATGATGTGTCACAGAGTTTCGGACTATGTTTTCCATTAATGGATTCTTGCTTGAATTGGCGTTAGTCATCTTGTTGGCATGTTGCAGTGTGCATCTTGTCTTAGACTCTTAGCTTTGCATGTTCCGTGATCTGATGCAGTTCAATTTTGTGATTCAGGAAGTTGGTTGAATCAAGAGGACACAAAAGATGCCACTTTACGACTGTATGCTTTTACTGAAACCCCATGTAAAGAAGGAGGCTCTGATGGACCTTGTTGCAAAGGTCGGGAAGCATGTTTATCGAAGAAATGGTGTGCTTGCAGATTTAAAGTCATTTGGAACTGTTCAACTGGGTTATGGCATTAAGAAACTAGATGGAAGATACTATCAGGTGTGTCTTTCTGCCTATCCTTTCAGTAATATTATATCAGCCCTTTTCTTCCTTATAGGTAAATGATTTATCAGAAAGGCCCATAACATTTAACTGTGGAGTCCCCAGAAAAACAAAGGATTTTCCTGCAAAATTACCAAAGGACAACCCTGCAGAAAACTATTAGTCTATTGCTATATCATCACTGCCATATTTACCTTATCCTTTTCTATGTATGAAATTCTGCCATTTATCAGAAAAGCCCGTTTGATAAAAGAGATGATAAATTCCTACTTTTAATTCCCATACTCCGCAGTGGACAAACTTCCCAGACTCTCTTGTTTTTGCACTATCCTCCTCCCCTTGCTCAAAAAAGAAAAAGAAATTTTCAGATGGCTACATCTTTTTTATGGCGAAAAGATAAAATTTTCAAATGGCTGCATGTAGTAGAATAATATTTGTGTACATTTAGATGTAAATTAACTCAGTCTCACATATTACACATGCACATTTAGGGGATTGAAAATGATATAATCTAAAAAAATGATTTTGTACATTTGAGGAATAACCTCTTGACTTGATAGCTTGTTGGTGCACCCTTGAGGTTCGTATTTGTATATGTGACTGGGTATCTTTCATCGAGATTCATGTTCTGATATAGATTCTCAAGTTTTTGATTTATCTCTTGTATACGGAAGCTTTTCCCATTGTTGATAAAATTATTTGCTGTATTTGATAAAATTATTCACTGTATCAAGAATTAAAAAACATAGGCAATCTTGCATAATGAAAACTAGTTTCAGATCAAGATTTAAAATCAAGGTACCTGGCAAAAAGATTTAAAATCAAGATACTAGATCAATTCAAAGAAACTACTACAAAATTATAGTCCGTTGGAGAATCTGCCATTTGTTTTGTTGGTTAGTAAACACTTAATTGAATCTCGAGCATTTTTATAGATAAATCCTTGAAACCCTCATAAGCATTTCATTCATGCTTGTAATTTTGACCTTTAGTCGTTCCAATTTTCAATTTTCTGTCCAGCACTTTCAAGAGTTCTTCCCTTTTAGCAGTTTGAGAGCTATTTATCCCCAGCCTCATTTCTTCTGCTGCTGCTTTCCATTATTTTGGTGCCTGATAAACCAAACTCCAAATTAGGTTTAGCCTTTTAGGGACTGTTGCAATGACCATTCTTCTGTGATGCACACATGACAATACACCTCTGAGAGCTCAAGGATTGGACTTTCTCCTGCGTTTTCACGAAAGAAGTTAATTTTTCTTTTGTCAAACTTTGCATTTGAGTGCCTGTCCCTCAGTGTTTGATTATTCTTACTAAATTCAAGGATATTGCATGTTTCTTAGGGTCAACTGATGCAAATGACAGTGATGACACCACCCAGTTTAAACAAAGAGCTGCATTACCTGAACAAAGAAGACCGCTTGCTTCGCTGGCTTTTGGTTAAGCATCGAGACGTCAAATTTGGATCGGACTTTTTGAGTGAAGATGATTCCAAGGCTGAACTAAGCAAGTTCCGGAGCAACTTGTATGAAGATGAAGAAGAAGATGATGATGATGACGACGACGAGGATGAAACAGATGAAACCGAGAGAAACAAAGTGTAGAAGGCTGATGAATTTCACTATGAGCTCACACCTTTTTTGCCTGTTCGTCAGCAATCATTGTACCATCTCAATGAACATAATTGTTTGCCAAGAAGCTACGTGGAGTCTGGCTAAGAATTTTGTAGTGCATGGCTTTTGTTGCCTAGAGACTAGTTACTACAGTTTAATTTTCTCAAATGATTTCAAAACTCGGTAGCACATGGAAATTCGCATGGATGAAAAAGACAGTAAATTTTGTTTGGGGCAAGTGCATAGATAGGCGTTCTCATGGATGTTATTTAGAGATTAGTCTGTCCTGAAAAACTGAAATTGATGACGCATTGACTAATTTCTAAATAGCAGCCCTCTAGAATGACTACCTCGTGTCATTTCTACACTTTTTATTTTGTTTAATCAATAAACCCAACTTTTGGGAGTGAGGTGATCCATTGTAATCAAATACCGGAAAAAGACTTACACGTACTTGGTGTCTGTAGCAAATAAATGAATGTATAACACACATTTTTAATATATGCTTTTCCTTAATCAGGGTATTAATATGTATTTTCATATTAATTTATCACTTAATCATGTGATTAATTTTTGTAGTTTGGTGTAAATATTGGATGTGAATGAGTTTTTCTCCAAATGATTTGATCTTTTCGCCCTTAACCTGAAGTTTTTGGATCGAGTCATGCGAATGAACACAATCTGGTATGGAGCATTTTTTTTCTTTCATAGGCATTATGCCCAAAAAACAGAAAAATGTCAAATTTTGTTTACCCACCCAGGGTTGGTGAAGGTTGTTGACCATGCAGCTTGAAAGTGAATGGACAAATAGATAATAGACCAACCTTAAGCTTCTCCAAATTGTAGAAATTATCTTTTTTGTTTCTGAAAATGCACAATTTATCAATTTCAACGCCAAAAGGGATTTTGGCAAGGACTTAAACGGGTGATTTTTTAAATTATACATAGATACTAATCTTTCTCATATTACTTCCATAAGTATATTGAGTTGTCGAGTAGTTCTAAACTTGATCAATCTCTTGGTTAGTTTTACATCTTCTTGACAAGAGATTGCAGTTATTAAACTATGGTTGTAATTTCACTTTGCATAATGTATGGTTCAAAATTCAGAAGACCTTTTATTTTTCTTCTTTTAAATTAGTTAGTTCCCATTGACAAAAAAATTCAGGTTCTATGTTAGCTTTTGGTCTGAATACAGATAAAACGAATAGCTTTGTAGATGATCCTTCTAGAAGAGGGAGATTCTAACAATATTTCGTTCTCTATTTAAAATAAAAACAGAAAATGTAGAAGAATAGAAATAAATTCTGAGCCCACTGATTTTACAATGTGTCCTTAATTAAGGAACTTAATATCCTCATAGTACTCGAGTTTTAAGATTTTTTTCTTTCAGAATATAACGGATTAACCTCACTAGTATAGTCGTGCTTCAAACACTAGTGTTCAACGAACTCAATAAGAAATCAACAAATTATACTTAGTTTTATTGTTAGAAAGTAATGAAGAAGAGAATTCCAAATTTCCGTAAGGAAAATCTAAGGGAATGATTAGATATTTATAGCCAAACGTTCGGATTGGCAGTGCCGTAGTGGTCTCTCTCATTAGCTAGCAAGTTTCGTGTTCAACTTTTGGGAATGAAAAACACTTCGCTTGGGATTCTCTAAGTTGGGGAATGTTTTATTTATTTAATGTCTTTTCAATGCAAATCAAGATTGATTGAGCATAACGGACTTCAAATACTATAAAAATAAGGTTATGAGTGTGATCTAATAGTCAATAAAAAAATAAGAACCATCGGATATTATTATTCATATGTCAATAATTACAAAAATATTTTAATTTCTTCTCATATACTAACGGTTAGTAGATAAATTTACTTATATAGGTAACGTCCATACAAGCTGGCAACAACTTTATAAGAAAAGAAAAGCTTTCGTATAATCAAATCCCAAATTACAATGCTCCTCCAGTTATAGTTTATGTACAAGCATTGCTTATTATTCCCAATGTGAGATTAAATCGAGGGGTGAGAACAATAAGTTGTGTACCTTTTTTATATACAGCGGAAGAATTGTTGAACTCATTATCAAAAAGTTGTCCTCAAGTCGAACTTTAATTCACTAGGAAAGGAAGTTTATATCGTCTTTCCTCTCATGTGTTTTTGTTTTCGGAGAACAAGAGAAGAACAATTCTCTATTGATGGAGAGAAAGGGACACTTTTTTTTTCTTTTCATGCAAAAAGAGAAGAGAGTCCTTCCATGATGAAATCTGTTTTCACCATTAAATAAGAATAATTGTGTTATTTTATAACTTCTCGTTAAGGAAGTTACCTCTTAACTTTTCTAAACCTTATGTCCTTATCCTTTCTAAAAGGGTTGGGTCGGATATGAGCGACCCCCCCCCCCCCCTTTCCCCCCCCGATATCTAAAATCTCCCACTTCGCTCATGATGGGCTAGACCCCGTCTAGTATCACACCGATAACACACATTATTCATACTGACAAATAGTTAGTGCGACCTGCGAGCATGTAGAGATATAATATTTCATACCTATTAAGGTTGTACAAAAGTCTATGTAGAATCCAATCACATACGGAAAGAATTTACTACTAACGTGATGATCTTATTACTCGCAATACCCCAGACATCATCTGCTACTCCAATAGCTATTTATCATATTCCTCATCCTCTAAAAAGGTGAACTCAAGTTCATATATAATATTATACCCACATTTACACTTGATACCCTCATGGTAACTCTAATGGTCGACCTATGGCTACAAGCTAAATACTTATTTTAGTTGTTTCCTTTTTCTACTCGAATCTACCCATTCCAAATCAAATGCTTTCCTAGATATGCACTGCATTGCCAAATCACTCATGGCTATTAGTGACATGCTAAAGTAGAAGCACTAATAGGCACAAGAGACAGTAAAAGGTCAAAGGGTCTTCCAACTAAAAGCTAATATAACTTTTTCGGGATCTCACACATTGAAGAAGCATGGATCCATTCTTTTATTATCCCAATGGTCGCCGGCACACGTGGTATGAAACACTTATATTAGCGTATATGTCTTATTCTTTTACTCATTCAACATTGTAGAGATCTTGGTCTATACACCTCTAAATGTCTAACCCGAGTTTCTCACTTCAATAATCCTCAACTCCAATTTCATAGAGAAGTTTGTATCTCGCTTACAAAATAAGTCATTAGGGATTATGAAATACATAGGTTTGAATTCTAGTCCAGACCGACTATTTTATTCAAAATTATATATGACCTTGCACTAATCAAGGTTCTAATAGGTCTTCCTCTACATTAGAGGCAATCGCTCGTGTGAAAGAGCCGATCTCGCAGCTTGTCTGACACATTTATATCCTTCAAAAAGAATCATCACATGTATACAGAATATCAATACAATCTTAATAATAATAGATTGATGAGTATATGAATAATAACCAAAATATTTTGCAATACACAAATACTAACATAATTTTCGCAAACCTAGAGCCACAACATGTTTCTCAAATATATTTCTAGATATTGCTTTTATAAGAGTATCACCTATTATTTTTGGGTAGGTATGTATAGTAATATTATTTCTTCACTTGCCATCATGTCTCTCATGTCTATATATTCTTTGAAGGATAAATCAGCTTCACTATAACATCGTGAATAATTTGCAATTCTTTTTAGGTATAAAAAAATCTCGTTATTTTTTTCTTAATAATCTCTTCCAAAATTAGATTGATACCTTCTAACAGACTTATGGCATAATAACTGTTTGGGTAAACATCATAATATACATCAAGTGCCCAACAACACTTGAGTATGGAACTCGAGACATGCTATTCTTTTCTTTGAGTCTTTAGACACACTTCAAAGCTTAAAGTTCCACCTCTTGATATGTCTTGAAGGCTGCTTTAGGCCGAAAATAAATATTTTCAATTTACAGACGTTTTCTTAGCCTTTAACGATGAAGCCTACGTATTATTCCATTTAGATTTCCTCGAGTTCTCCATTGAGAAAAGCTGTCTTCCACGTCCATTTGATGTAATTCTAGAATTTACAGACCTTTTCTTAGCCTTTAACGATGAAGCCTACATATTATTCCATTTAGATTTCCTCTAGTTCTCCATTGAGAAAAGCATCCTTCCACGTCCATTTGGTGTAATTCTAGATCGAAACGTGCAACAATAGCCAAAAGTTTAGCGAATTAAGGTAAAATTCATAATTGGTAAAAATATTTCTTTCTCATAATCTATTCCAACTTCTTGAGTAAAGCCTTTTTTCATAAATCGTGCCTTGTAGCTTTATATTGAACCATCCATTTTGCGTTTAATTTTGAGAACTCACTTGTCCCAATGGCTCTACCCTCAGGCGGAGTGTCAACTAGATCCAAACTTTATTGATTTTCATGGACTTTAATAATTCTTCTTTTATTGCTTCAATCCCCTCATCTTTTTCAGGGTTCGATAAAGCCTCAGTCACAGAATTTGGCTCATCCATTTCTGTGGGAGATACCAAAAAAACATAATATTCAATCTCATAAGTACTTTGGTATATTTTTCTTGGTATTCTTTCGTAGTTGAAATTCAGGTTCGTCAGAAGGATTTTGGGATTGAGAATTCCCACTCCCACTCGGATCAAGCACAAGATCTTGATCAATTTAATTATCAACCGTGTCAGAAGACACGTGTTGACTATCTGAGTTCAACATTTCATAAAAAAGGCTCTCCATTCTTTACCTCGCCCTTCTTTGAAAATCCAAAAATGTGACATCTCGCGATTCAATATCAATAACACTTCCATCCTCCAATTCACCAATGAATACATACCTTTTGGAGTATTCTGAATATCTTATAAAGATGCATTTCTTGCCTTTTGGACCTAATTTACCAAATTTGCTAAAAGAATCTTTTACATATGCAGTACAACCCCAGGATCATAAATCATTTTAAGTTTGGTTTATAACCGGTCCTAAGCTCATATGGAGTGGAAGAAACTAATTTAGAAGGTACTTTGTTCAATATGTAGGATGCGGTCATAACGCATCTCCCCAAAAGAAAATAGGTAAATTTGTCTGCGCCATCATGACCTTATCATGTCCAATAGTGCTTTATTCCTCCTTTTTGCCACACCATTTTGTTGAGGTGTGTAAAGAATAGTTAATTGTCCGGTGATGCTCTTTTCATTACATAATTCTCTAAATTATTTTCATAGATATTAACGCCTCTATCGGTCTTTAAGAGCTTAATCCTTTTGTCTAATTGATTCTCAACTTCATTCAAATATTTCTTAAAGAATTCAAGAGCTTCAGATTTATGAGAAATCAAATCGACATAATCAAAGCGCGTGAAATCGTCAATACGTAATAAAATTTAAAGCACCAGACCTAGCCCTCGCATTCATTGGATCACAAATATCTGTATAGATTAATTGCAATGAAAAGTTACTTTTCTTAGCCTTCCCTCATGGTTTATGTGTAACCTTTCTGACAAGATAATGTTAAAAAGTTGGCATGTCTATTCTGGAGAAGAAACCCAAATATCCCTCCTTAGCCAATTTATTCATTTGATCTTGTCATATGTGGCCCAATCTAATATGCCATGATGAATTAGCCCACGTAATAGTCATATATGGAATAATTACTATTTAACACGAATAAGCCATCATATGTGTGTAGAACTATAGATAACATCCTCTAGAGTACTCTTGACAATATTACCGTTGAAAATAAATCTTGTACAAGAAGAACAAGTGCTAAAAGTTGCAACACTTTATCTCACTTTTATCTTTCTTTTTGTTATGTTGGAATTTAGCAAATTACTTCTCTTGAAGGGTCCCTATTCGGTCTCTTTATCATATCTGTCCTGTATTAAATTTTCTTGTGTTTAAAGCCTGAAAGCTTTTTATCACTTGATTCTGCTACATAGACACTAGGTATAGCTTTTGTATTACCAAGTCATTCGTCTTCAAGATCCACGTGACGGGCAATATTGAAAAGCTTTTAATGTTATTATCATGGGTTATACTAACCTTCAAAAGTTTTCAACTGTTGGAAAGAGATTGGATTACTGCTTGCTGCTCATCGGAGAGAATGTTACTAACGCTTTTAAGTTGAGCAATTATGTTAGACATCATATTAGTGTGTTGCTTGACACTATGATCAATTAGCTTTTGTATGTGTCAAAATTGATTATCAACTATCTGAAGCGAGTCATAGTTGTACTGCCATATGTCTCTCGTAAGTGTGCCCGTGTGGCCTGAGCAATACGATATTATTCATATTCATGGATGAGATCATCGCCATTATAACTTATAATTGTTCCATGGGTTGTGGAATCTTTCTTTATTCATGCGTTATAAGCATTGAGATCTTTCCTATGTTGGGCAGTATTATCCTCCCCGTGGTGACACATCGTATGGTTTATATTCTCTAGAGCATCTTGCTTTTTCAATACATACCATATCTTACGAATCAATGTAATAATTGTTGTTTAATTTATCACCTTATCCGGATTTGCAACTATATTTTTTGAAGCCATAGTCTTATACTTATAAGAGATAATCATGCAAGTATCACCCATTAATAATACATGTGATATACACACTTAAGAAAATAATTTCTCATAATGACTTCATGTTTAGTGTAGAATGGAAAGGTCGCATAGTTTTCAATCATTATCTACCATCCATACGTTTAATCAAAAGTAAAAAATATTTCTTAGTGTATATTATATTAATATCTATGACTAGAATCACACAGATTCTTTAAGTCTTATTTTCTTACAATACTCTGTTATATATACCAATGAACAAAAAAAAAATAACAGAAAAGACAAACAAATAAATATTTATACTAGAACATACACAATTACAAGTCATATATACATTTATTTATATTTACATGTCATTCTCCTCGTTACGATGGTGATAAGGATTTACAATAATATCAGCCAAAGTCTTAGCTAGCTTATATATAGGAGAAGGTTGAATAAATCGAGGCCTAGGACTTGTCTTTAGAAGCCATAATTTTTTAATCTATGTCTTTTTTCTCCCACTCAGCCTCAAGCGCATGAGTGTATACCCAAAGGTTCTCATTTGGACCAAAATTATAATAAATACTAGCCAATACATCGCCCCGATGACTTGAGAGAGAATTCATCAATATAGCTAAAGCATTCTATGTATTGACTAATATATGATAAGAGAACAATTCTGCTAGTTTCAACCCAAAAAGGTGAAGATGACTTGGTATAGTAGCATATGCGTCCATCTTGAACCTTTTAAATTTCTCATATTTCCTTCTCCCTTTCCTATCATCCCGAAAGATATTTTTTATCGAACTCGAACATCATTCTTGACGACTTGAGAATTTGAATCTGAATCGTTACTGAAATACATCCTTCAACGCCGCACTCTTCTAGCTGTCTCCTTACTCGACTTTCAGTATCACTCTCATTTGGCATACATCGAGCTCGTTCTCGTCCATCAATTTCTGAAACGGGAACAAGAAAACAATTAGAATGATTTTTCATAATCATTCTATATGATAACATATGTCGCAATTACTTGTAAAGAGAAATCAAGTTTAAGGGTCATTTACTTATTTAAAAATAAATATTCGACCCTTCTATGATCACTAATATATCAGTAAAGGAATGATTAGAACTTGGCTTATATCTTTTCACTTAAGGAACAATGAGTTCACTGTTGACCAATTAATTAAATAATTAAATATTTGGCCAAGACATGTTTGATGAAATCACAATAAAGTTTGAGAATTTCATCAGAAAATACTGAACCGAAATTATAAAGAAATAATATTTATATTCCAAGAGTAAATAATTCATCGGAACAAAAAATGTAAACAAACAGTATGTCAATGTTCCAATGAAAACTCATAATAATCTCTTCCTTTTGTTCTTTTCAATTATAAAATAAATTCTCCATTAGCCAAGTTAATGAAGTTAAAAGAATTTTTTTGAGGAAGTTTTCAATAGTTTGTAAGCAATAAAAATATTTTTGCCATCGCTTTCTTTGACAACTAAAGTTTCGCCAAAATGTGGCAAAAATATAGCAAAGTCATCAAAGAATAGTCAAGTATCATAACTTTGAAGAAAACTCAAAGTTTATAATGAAAAAGGCAACATGGCCTTTCAAAAGTTTCTTCTCACTAGTTTTCAAATACATGGAAAACAATATTTTCTTTAATTGGTGTCCAACAAATGACCACACAGATGGTAATACAGTCAGGCATTAAAAGAATTTTGTTGTCGGTATTCTAAATCTTTCGATTCGGCAAACTACTTCGATCGGCCGTTTTTAAAAGACTTAAAGAAAAAGTTTTGTATTTTAATCTCTTATTATCAAAACCAGATTTCGACACCATTCTTTTTTAATTTTTTTTTCCAGAATTGGCTTTCATGTCAAACAAAATTTGTAATCAGATATAGATATACAAACCAGAGAGACGATATATATATTCGACAGTGTATTCAAAAGTAACAAAACACACAACCAATGGCTCTGATACCAATGTTAGATTAAATCTAGGGAGGAGAACAACAAGTTGTGTACCTTTTTTTTATATATAGCGGAAGAATCGTTGAACTCACCGCCGAAAAGTTGCCCCAAGTCGAACATCAATTCATTAGGAAAGAAAGTTTATATCCACAAATTAGATGTCTTTCCCCTCTTATGTGTTTTTGTTTTTAGAGAACGATTATTTATGGAGAGAAATTGACATTGTTTTCTTCTTCTTTTTTTTTGAAAAAAATAGAGAGTCCTTCGATAATGAAATCTATTTCACCATTAAATAAAAATAGTCGTGTTATTTTGTAACTTCTACCTCTTTAATTTCTCAAAACCTTATATCTTTATTTTTTCTAAATGGATTGGATCGGTTCATACGAGCGATCTGTCCGATATTCAACACTCAAAAAAGAATAACACACAAGTTAATACATCTCTATATACTTGAAAGAAAGTTTAAAAAGTATATACTTGAAAGAAAGTTTACTGTCATGCTTAAGGTTATAAGTTTTAAAAATATTATAACCAACAAATGTTATGTTATGTTAATACAATAAATTTTATGAATCAAACTATGTGACAAATTAAAGAAAATTGGAATGTGAGGAAGTAAACAATTAAAGAAAGATATTACATTATTACACTACTTAACACTGCATTTTGTATACCTCCTTCACACACACACACACACACACACACACTACTTGGCTTCAAGGGTTTCGACCTGTAAATTCTCTTTCTCCGATCTGCAAATCCAATTCAATTCCTACAATCCATTTCTACTCATACAATCTCATCTCAGATTCAGAAAATCCATAACGATCTAGAAGAAATTCTCAATTCAAAAAATCGCTTTTCACATTCTTCAAAAATCAAAATCGATACTTTATATTCAGCCAAAGCTGTGGTGATGTAAGAGCTGCTATTTTAAGAGCTCGTTTTGGTTCATTTTTAGGGTTTGTTTGAATGATAAAGAAAGTTCTAGAAGATCTAAGGATTTGGATTTGGATTGATTTCATTGCTTAGTTAGAAAGTCACAATGGATGTGGATTTAGTTGTTGATATAGCGAGCCTCGATGCCGAATTATTGCAGCTTCCTGAATTTTCACCTTTGGCTATCAAAGATAATCCTTATGCTCAGAGGCTTTTTGATCAATGGCTTTCGCTCCCCATCACTACTTCTAAGGTAGTTCCACAGTGCCCAAATTTTGATAATGTACTGTATTTTGCTGTATTAAGGACTAGATTTTGAAATTGCAATGAGTTTAAGTTCGGTGTTAAAAATATTCATGCAATCAGGTCAATTATTAGGTAATTACAGGTAAATATATTGATAAACATTAGTTGGTAATCAGTCAAAAATGGTACTTCTTCCATTGCAGTTGATGCAGCATAGTTTGACTTGGTATGGAGTTTAAGAAAGGAAGAAAAACTTTCAAGCTTGTGGTCTTAAACATGGCTTAACATTTGTGTGGCTATACGATTTTCTAAACTTGTGGTATTAAACATTTCATAACATTTGCATGTGCGATAATATTTGTATGGCTATAAAAGTTTATTATCAAGTGTAGATGTGAAGTTTATGTTAAAGTTTTTCCAAATTTAGAAAGCAGTTCAAGTTAGTGGCTTACTGTATCATAATACGCTACTATATGATCTATCTTATACGTATCTCAGAAGTGATTCTAACAACTATAATACGTTTGTTTCATGAGAATGTCAATTATTTTGTGTTGAGCGAAGTATCATGTGGAGTATAATGTGTTATCAAGTCCCCTAGGGTGAGGAATGATTAGAAGGCGCCATGAAGATATGTAAACCTTTTTGTGTAAAGTGAAGAAGAAAGATTTCAATAGTCTGTTGCAATTTTGAGCTCTTTCTCGGAGTTCTTTTATCCACTTTTTCTTTATTGACAAAAAGTACATGTCTGGGCTCTCTTGGATCAATTGTGTTGCTTTTTTTTTTTTAGCCGGCTCTTGCTCTTTACCAACAAGAGTCTAACATCGCTCACTCTCAAGTCTCAAAAAAGAGTCAAACAATGCTCGGAACTTGATAGTATGCATATAGGACTGCAACAACTTGTTGCATTCGATGAAAATTAATTCTGTGTGTTCATGGAACTACTGTCACTAAGAAGCTTTCCTAGGATGATGGAGATGTGCTGGTGCTTTGGTTTAATGGAGACTCTTCGTGAAATTTTTATACCACTGGTGATGAATAATAGTGATATTATGCTTGAGGATGTTCAGCTGGAATAATATATTTTTGAAAAGTTACTCTGCCAAGCTATTGTTCTGAGCCAGCATTACACGAGTCTGAGGTTTTACGAATGGAACATAGGACCTGATAATTATTGAGCTTACATGTTGATTTTTTTTAGTTCTGGGAACATATGATGTTTCGTTTTAGAAGAGCACTCTGCCCTGCATTATTGCAAACCGAAGCGATGAATATGCATTTTTTCTGTTTCTGATAAACATTGTTGTTGATCTCAGTTGATTGGCAAATGGAAAGTAATCTATTTTCACTATACATGCAGGTGAAATCTTTGCTTGATAATGCTAAGGGTGGTGGTCCCTTGAATGTGACTGGAACTTCCTCTAGCACAAATGTTGCTGCAAGCAGTTCTTTGCCGTCTATGTTTCCCGCTGGAAGTACCCCTCCACTTTCCCCGAGAAGCTCATCTGGTTCACCGCGAACAACAAGACATAGGGCAGGCCCCTCTATATTAGGTTCTCCTCTGAAATTAGTGAACGAGCCTGTTAAAGAGCAAATACCACAGGTATGGAAGTGTTGCAAAACTAATTCAGAGTGATGTTTTTTCTTTCTTTTTGAGCACAGACAGGTTGTGACGTTTTCTTCCTTTTGATCAAATGCATATGATGATAGCAGTTTTATTTTCAAAATGGCCGTCCACCTCCGAATGAATTGAAGGAACGCTGCTTGTTTAGAATAAACCAATTTTTCTATGGTCACATGGATGGACTACAAATGCATGGTAAGGTTCCTTTTTTTTTTGGGGGGGGGGGTGTTGCTTTCTTATTGACTTTGAGATGAGTATGGATATGTGTATATCCTTTTAGGTTTAATATGAGAGTTTCTGTAGTATCTCATTATCTTCCAGTCTTCCAGAATATGCCTTTTTGTTTTTTGAGGCCTTTTACCAAATTCTCTTATCATTCTTTTGTTGGCTCTCCAACAAATGCTATAAGATCTGTAATTATGGTTTTTAATGAAATAAATTCTTATTAAATGCATAGAACCTACAGAATTGTGAAGTTACATGCCCCCTTAAAACAATTAATAGATATCTTTGAGTAATTTATTGAAATTCTTAGGGTGCTACAAAATTTGTTGGAGACTGCAAAATAAGACAAAATATATGCACAAGTTCAACCTTATTAAGATTTGAAGTGAGACTAGACTGGATTGTGATATACCTAATGCAGGGAAATCTTTTAGAACAAAATGTTTTCTTTTCTTGACACCAAAATGTTTTCTAGTACAGACACCGGGATAGGCTCAGTCTTTTAGGGGAATGACATGGTAGTTGAAGATGTAACACAGAAATGATATGGAATGGTTGAAATAGAGGAGTAATGTGTCCTGATAAAAAACTAGAGGAGTAATGTGAGTGGTATGTGATAGGAAAATACCTAACAAAGTGACAAGTTTTATGAAACGGTTGTGAGACCACCAATATTATATGGGAAATTGTTAGGCCTCATAGGATGATTGTTGTAGAATCCAGATATTAAGATGATCATACAAGAACTTATTGTAAAAAATTGGTCATACCAAATTTGTAATATTAGAAATGATCACATCCGACAAAAGGTGCAACTGAAGTTACACGAAGATTGCTTAATACAAGAAACTCTTTAGAGAAGAGATTGTAATCTTTGCAGTAGGTGGCAGATGCTACCATTGTGAAGAACATAGTCAATTAGTTAAATATTTTCTTCTGCACTGCAGACATACACGGAAACTTTACACTGTTTTTGAATTTATATGGAGTCCAGTGATCCAAAATAGACTTTGTCAGCTGGTAGGGGTAGAGGATATGAAAAGAAAAATAGAGGTAATATTGGAAGACTATTCCTTACTGTGTAGTTTGGACAATGTAGAAAGAAACCATAGACGCTTTATGAGGAAAATGAATGTATCTCTATATAAAAGTTAAGATATCCTTCACAATTTGTACTTTTGGTGTAAGAAGAATGTTCAGACTCCTTACACAAATAAAAGGGATCAAGTATACAAAGTTTATGTATATTTCCAGTACTTTTGCGGTGTTTCTTTACTAAAAATTCTTTTTTTCTTTATCGTTAACTTCCTTAGTAAAAAATTTTATAGTGGAAAAAAATGAGAGTACGTTGCCTTATATTGTTGTCTTACATAATCTTCCAAATAGACTGGTCCATATGTGCGATATTATTATTGTTAAATATGCAAAAAGGGGCCGGGATAGACCTAAGATTAGATCCACAGAGGCAAACTCAGCATGGCACAACTAAGAATAGAATAAAATGGAATGAAGTCCATTGAGAAAATGGTTCAAATTCCAATCCAGTAGAGGCAATGATATTCGGTGATTTTTTCTATCTACCTGTAATGGAAGCAAAAGATCCATATAGGCTATTAAAGTAGTAGGGACTAATGCTTTATTATTGTTGTTACACTTATATTAGGTCCGATGTTTGTCTGTAGATGTCACGGAGAGAAGTGACCTTTAGTTTAGAGAACTCTCAGTTCGCCTTAAAGACCAATTATTTAGTATTGCAATGAAATAAGCCCAAATCAAGCAACTTATGTAGAAGATTCATATATCTGATTCTGACTAGTTTTTGGAACTAATTACAGCATATCTGAGTCTGTTTAGTGCTGAAATTCTCAATATGGTTTACAATTTGTGAGTTGGGGGGGGGGGGGGGCTGTGGTTGGACTGGAAACCAAGTGTAGGCTTAAGACTAAGCTGGATCATGTATAAAGAGTAGTTTATAATTATTTATGCTAGCTATATGGGCCGCCGTCGGCCCTACATGATTTGATTTATTATTCAAGCTTGTGTTTGACATTCCATATAACTTATTTTTCCTTGGGTTGTTAGAAATTAAACCAATTACTAAGGAAATATGCAAGTTGCCGTCGTTCTTCTCAAGGGCTCTTTTTAGGAAGATTGATGTTGATGGAACGGGCATCATAACAAGGTATTCTTTCTTCTCAATTCTCAAGATGATTCGTTCACTGTTTCTGGTTAATTCCTAGAAGGTCATCTGCACCTTTGGAACATGAATGAAAATGTTGGGATTAAGGGCATCCTTTTCTTCCTTTCATCCTTCTATATGTCTTTTCGACCTCCGGTAACGTCCTTCTATTTGATATATAATACAGTTCCTTGAGTAGATATATCCTTCTATATATTTTGATAGTTTGAGTGACTTAATACTATTGTAGTAAGCTCCCTTCACTCAGAAGCTCAATTTTTTGTTATAGTTACTGTGCTAGTTATAGTTGATTATATTTGAAATCTAGCTTCTTTCCTGAATGTTGTAGTTTGTCTTTGCAGAGGTTTTATGACAGAACTTAATAGATTTTGTGTAAGGGAGGAATTATTTCATAGGAGTTTTATTTCTCATTAACTTAATGGGTTTGTCTGTTGTTTTCGACAGTTCCAGTTAAGACAGCTCCTTTTGGTCTGTATCTGTAACTCTTTGCTTTGCAAACTTATAACACCTTCTCCCATGTTTATTTGTAACTACTAACACTTAAAAAGAGAAACTCGGAAGTGACAGCGGATGTAGGGTACTAGTAATGCAGAGTATACCTGAGCATTTAGTGTTAATTCATTTCTCACAATGTCTGGAACTTTTTTTCAAGTAGTTTGCTGATGCTATTTGCTTAACATGGCTGTAGGGATGCCTTTGTTGATTATTGGGTCAACGGAAACATGTTGACAAAAGATATAGCAACCCAGATTTACACAATCTTGAAGCAGCCAGATCTCAAACACCTGACACAGGTGCTTTCTCTACTTTGTTTGTTATTTGTTTGAGTGACTTGTTATAATTACTTTGTAGTTTCTTACTTGTCCTATCCGAAAGAGCTAAAGATTTGGTCTGATTCATGATTACACGGAGAATATTTTTAGATTACTAGATCTGTTTTTTCCTTGTTCCAATTGAAACTTCAACCAATTTGATTGTAGGATGATTTCAAGCCCGTGCTTCAAGAGCTTTTGGCAACACATCCTGGGTTAGAGTTCTTACGGAGCACACCTGAATTTCAAGAGCGATATGGTACCTTCTAAATGCTATACTGTATTAGTTGCTGATGCCCTCTATTAATTTGATATATTTTGACGTCGCATGCGGAACTTTGTGCCCTTAATTTGACGATGTTTTGTGGTATGTATATAACCACTGTCCTACATGAGCTGTTCTATTAGACATCCCTATCTTCTTTCTTGAGAGGACCATTACATGTAACGAAAGCAGATAACTAAAAGTGCTACAGGTCCTCAGTTTGGTATAGTTTTTTGGTTTCAGTGCTAGATTAATTTGTGAGGTGTGAGTTTCTCTGATGAACTGGACAGTATTTTTGAGGCAACTATATGTTGAATGAAGTATGCTGTGTTACTCATCCCCCATGCCTAATGGCGGAGAAGAGAGACAATAAAAGATCTAATTACCTTTTTTGGTCTTTTGGTACATCAAGCACGAGAACTCTAATTCCTCGGCAAAGCTTTCTCGTCTAAGACTTGAAATTTCCTTTAGCTGCTCTCTCTAAAGGAGTCCCATTCAAACTAGATTAGCTAACCCTTTTACGCGTCACCCTTTTTTGCGGGGTTCTGTCAGCTTTCTTGGTTTGGGACCATTAGGAATGGAGTAGATAGTCTTTTTTTTCTTTCTTAACAGTTGGAATGATACATCGTATTTAAATACCTGTTTGTAACATAGAGGGGTTACAAACTATTTTACTCTTATCTTAACAGTTAATTTTCTTGCATTGGCCAGCTGAAACTGTAATATACAGAATATTTTTCTACGTGAATAGATTGGGTAATGGTCAACTTACCCTCAGGGAGCTGAAGCGTTCAGACCTAATTGCTGCAATGCAACATGCGGATGAAGAAGAAGATATTAACAAGGTCCTTAGGTAAATATCATTGCAATGGGATTGACTTAATATAGACATGAAAAAGTTCACAGTTTTCTTCTTTTTGGGAAGTTTTAGAGATTCACTTCTGTTATGCCACTTGATGTGGTCTGTCCTTGTTTCTTTGCCTTGTACACATCAAAATGTCTATGTCACATGATTTAATTATGCATGTTTATGTGGCAAATGGTGGTGCTAGGAAATTGTACTTCTTTGACTAGTCATAGAAAGAAGAGAGAAAAAATGCATTATACATCACATGATTAGCAGATCCATTTTGGGAGATAACCATTGCAAAAGCACATCACAATGTTTTGCAGATTACTTTGAAACTCTGGCTTCTCATAGAAACTAAGTCAAACATTCTGCTACTTTCTTTACTTACCTTTTAGAGTTTGTTCTATTGACTTTGGCTTGACATTACCCTGATAACATTGGTCAAGTTCTTGCCGTTCAAGCAAATATATCTGCCATGTCATTGAGCATCTTATTTTTGCCGCAGGTACTTCTCTTACGAACACTTCTACGTGATATATTGCAAGTTTTGGGAGCTCGATACGGATCATGATTTTCTGATTGATAAAGAGAACCTCATTCGATATGGCAACCATGCCCTTACATACAGGATTGTTGATAGAATATTTTCTCAGGTTGGAGTCTTCCTTGTACTCTGTTTGTCACTTATCAATTTGCCTTGCCTGCTTTAATGAATAAATTGTTGTACTTTTGGGAATGCTTGTTTATCACATTATAAGGAGTTCATGTTTTAATTTTCTTTTGTCCCGTAAGGGATATCCAACAAAAGTGGAACGGCACACAGAGGATTAGCATGTTGTAATGTTTTTGTCAGGTTCCTACTTGTATAGCCCCTACTTGTATAGAAGATTGGGCGTCTTTTGTAGAGAATCATGTTCTGATGTAAATTCTCTACTTTTTGGTATACTTCCTGTATACGGGAGTTCTCTCCCTTTTGATTAATACAATTTACCTGATCAAAAAAATGTTTTTGTCAGGTTCCAAGGAAGTTTACAAGTAAAGTTGAAGGAAAGATGGGTTATGAAGATTTTGTTTACTTTATATTGTCGGAGGAGGATAAAACATCAGAGCCTGGTCTTGAATACTGGTAAATTTCAGGATTAACACGAAACACTTTTTCAAGCTCCATGAAAATTTGAACTTTCCTCCTGATTCTTTTATAGTGGAGCAATTGGATCTTTTTTGATGGAGATGGAGAATTCAAGTCTCTTTACATCATTACTGTGAATTTTTTTTTCCTGCTAAGCGGAGATTATGTTACTAATGTTCTTTCTTTATGAAGGAACTGATTCCAACTATCCATGTCAATTTTATGACTGCAGTTGATTAGTGGATTCCTTCTGTATTCTGCTTCCTAATTTATTGAGTGATGGGTTCATATCTACTATTTTTGCAATTTTAATGAATTTTTTCATATAAATTTTTACTCCGCGTCGAAAGTTATGGGTTCAATTGAACCCGTTGAGCATATACTACATCCGCCCCTCGTTTAGGCTATAAAATCGGCTCTCCAATAATTAATAGCATTAGGAGCACCAAATATGCTGGTACTTGGAAGTTGGAAGTATATGATATTATTATTGTTCGTAAGACTAATATGCTTGTGCTAACCAGGATATGACGAGTATGAACAAGGTTTTGCTTGCAAATTACCTACTTCTAGTTCTATTATGTATTTGTTGCACTTAAATTCTGTGCCCTGTTTGTTTTCAGCAATTGTTTTGTTCTGCATTTTTTTTGTTTTATCGGAGATAAAATAGCCAAAGGGCTGTTTTCCAGACCTAAATCCAAACAATACATTTGTTTTCTGGAAAGGCGGGGGAAAAAATAAAAACAAAACAAAACCGCAACCATCTTAGCTTTCTCCTCTTTTTCTAGGAGAAAAACCAGAACTAGACATTTCTAATCGAAATGCATCTAAGATGTATGAAGTAATTCACATAGGTTGCAAAATTTTATGATAATTCAACTGCTTTTGTCTCACCCATTTATGAGTATAGAAGCAACGTCTTCCCTACCCCCCCCCACCCCCTACCCCCCTCCCCTAAAAAAAAAAAAATGATGGTCCAATTTTAATGAGATGTGGATCAAAGACGTCGTTTTTTTTTATATAACCATGGTGTTCGGTCCAGCTTGCGCGCACCTCGACTAATTCCACGGGATACTTGTACCTCCCATCGACAATAGGTACCAGGTAACTAACTATGTCCACCAAAGTTTGGACAGATGGGAAGAAATCATCTGAGACATTATGGAACAAAGGTGTATTGAAATATTTACGACTGTGGTAGCTTATAACCTGTAGAATTATTGGAGATCCAATTACTTACCCATTTATTTACTGGAAAACCAATTTACTTGCTGAAAACATAAGATTTGAGTACACAGAGTACCTTTTCAGATTAGTAAGGTCATTTTTATTACTTTTGTGGACCCCTGTAGGTGCAGAATTTTACATAGTAGATTAGTCAAGCTCCCTCAATATTTAGGGAACTGATAAGTCAACTAATGTGTCTCTATCATATACGTCCAACATTTTACACCCCAAAATAAATTAATTATGGACATTGATATTTCAGTCTTCAAACTGGTACTGCAGTATCGTCAAGGTATCTCTGATTTCTGTGTCCACAGTACCCAAAAAAGGAAGCTGGTCTAGTCATCCAAACTTATCTGTCTTCTTTCCTAATCGTCTTTTCTGCTAACATTGTTAGTGGCTCTTTAGCTTTTCTTGGTTGATTAGACTGACTTATTTGTGTATGCAAGCATTGCTGTGTTGTCTCTAGTTTCATCATAGTTGGCGAGATAATATTAATTATTATGGGCTGGAAGTCAAATTGCTGGTTTGTTGTATTTTGATAATTAAGAGTATTTCTATCAGGAATTATCGTGACAGTCAGGGAAGGCCGTTTAGTTGATTGTGTTTTGCATTAGTATTGTTTGAATTCAGTTCATTGCTGCTAAGAATTTAGGCAAAGTAATGTCATTATAGAATGATGAGTCCCCTTCAGAAAAATAGTCAATCGTATTGTTGTGAGACATGCACAGACTCACATATGACACCGCCTTTCTTTTCTATATCTCAATTTATTTTATGGGCAGGTTCAAATGCATAGATTTGGATGGAAACGGTGTTCTGACTAGGAATGAAATGCAATTTTTTTATGAGGAGCAGTTGCATAGAATGGAATGCATGGGCCAAGAACCAGTGCTTTTTGAGGATATATTGTGCCAGATGGTCGACATGATTAGTCCAGAGGTAATCTTTCTTTTTTCACAGGTGATGTCTTTATCTGTTGTGTCCTTTACATGCTGTGACATATTCATCAGATTAATGCTTTTCTTCTCTAATGAAAGAACACTTCTGGTTGACCCCTTTTGGTACCTAAGTTGAAGTTTGTAAGTTGCATTCTCTGAATGGTCTTTTCTGTGAAAGAAGATAATGCATAAGTTAAAGTTAGTGAACTGTATTTCTTTTTAAGCTGTCTGGTGGGAGGTTGACAGTCAGATTTTATCTTCTTGATGGTGAATTAGTGAACCAATGTGCTGAGTAATTTCTTAGTCAATGGTCCTTTGGAGATTAGAAACGCAACAGTCATGATTAGTTTGGGAAAGAAGTTGCCGTTTTCTTTTTCAATCGAAATAATTAATGCCATTATTCAACTCTGTATTGTTTGACTTGATGTGCGATATGTAATCTACAGCTGTTTTAATTTGTACCATCTTGGTTAATTTTCAAGAATGATACATAGCACTGAATTTTCCTTACTTGCAGGATGAAAGTTATTTTATGTTACATGACTTGAAGGGCAATAAGTTATCCGGCAGTGTTTTCAATATACTATTTAACCTCAATAAGTTCATGGCATTTGAAACTCGCGACCCGTTCCTAATACGTCAGGTAATTGAAAAGTTAATGTTTGATTAATAAGTAAAGGAGGCTGTTCTACATTCCTTCATCATTCTTACCAATGGATTAACATGATTTTTCTTTTTGTTCCAGGAGCGTGAGAACCCGAATTTGACTGAGTGGGACCGCTTTGCACACAGAGAATATATTAGACTCTCAATGGAGGAAGATGCAGAGGATGCCTCCAATGGAAGTGCAGATGTCTGGGATGAATCACTTGAGGCTCCTTTTTGAGTTCAGTTAGCAAGGTGGAAAGGTGTGGACTATCCATTTATCTACATCTCCTTCAACCGGTACATATTGTAGATTGATAGTTCTGTGAATCAGTATCTCTCTGGTTTTTGACTTCATGTCCACTCTTTAATATTATGAAACTGGTATAAGAAAGTCTAATACTTGACTAAACTTACAAACACCTGGGATGACTAGACCTTTTGGATGATATTAAATCATCACTGTAGTAGCATAGTATGTCAGGGCTGGTAAAGTTTTTGAAGCAAGCTGTTCTCCAAGTTTTTCCCCTCCTGGGCCATAAAGTATTTTACATAATTCCCTTTAATGACGTGACCCTAATACTTGAGAAGAGAAGAAAAAAAACATTCTTCTGAGCATCACATGTAAAATGCTGTCTGGAACTGAACTCATAAAAAAAATGAGAGGCTCCCCAGGTGAAAGCAAAATCCTTGTTTACCAGATTATTTAGTAGCCAACTGATGGGATCCTGATCCCATTTTCAGTTGCAACACAAGTACATACCTTAGTTTACCGTTCATTTTAACTTAGCTAATTTGGCCACCTATTATTACAGTATAGTCCTCCAAAAATTCTTATCACTTTCATTTTATTTATTTAATATGAGTTGGAATGCCCTAGACTTAATGTGGATATATTGCTATGCCAGAAGGCTGAACTCTTGCTTTTTAAATTTCTACTAGTTTCCAGGAAGGTGCCAGCATCGAACTTTACCTCAAGTTAAATTTTGAGCTGCAAAAGTGAATTTTGCACAGAAAAGAATCAAGTGGGACAAGCTGCTCTCAGTGTTCCACCAAGATGTTCTCTTTGAGATAGCCACAGAGGAATTTTTTATTGGTCTGCACAGAGCATGCTCTCAAGTTGTTTCTGTCCATGCTAGTCTGAAAGCTGCCAACATGAATTATCAAGGGCTTGGCAAATGGACGATTGGCGATTGACTGTCAAATGTACCTTCTGGTAATTCAGAACTTTCACATTTGTTCTCTCTTTAAGAAATCAATGTTATTAATTATTTGTTGTAGTTCCCATTTTTAGCGGTTTCAGATACCTTTTCTCTAGATGAGATTTAGTGTAGTGAGTGCCAATGTGCCAAGTTGTATGCTTTTCGTTCCCTTTTTGTGGTCTGTGAATCTTGGTAGTTGTGTATGAGCTGCAATGATATTCTTCTCTTTCTTTGTCCTGCTACTTGGATGTTAACCTCAAGGATTTATAATTTTTCTGACAAATTGCATTGTTGATTTATTAGTCACAGGTCATAAACTTGTTCTAGTGTCATCATTCATTAGCCTTTGAGTTTTGTTAAGCAAGAATGAATTGAAATGCATGTTCTTTGACTTGGAAGTCCAAGAGAAGGCAATAAAAAGGATATCCACATGCTTTTTTCCATTAAATTCGGATTTAGATGAGGTTTACGTAGTCGGCGGTCACGGTAAGTTGACCTTCAGTATTAGAATACTCGTGATATGATAAATTCTGTGACACATTGAATGAAATATGTCCAAAAGGGCGAATGTAGTGAAGTAAACAGTGTCCTAATTAGTTTGGAATTGAGGCACAATTGATGTGTTGATATGTATTAGTAACAAGGAGATCATAGGAGGTCAGGTTTGAACTTTTGGTCTTCATTTCTTATCATTATTACAATCTTTTTTGCCCTTTTTTCATGACATTTGTGCGTGCCTCCAGTTTTCATCTCAAAAGTAGAGCCTGAGAATGGTGCTGCCTGAGCCTTGCCATATTGCGCTTTAAGAAACATATAAGTTTGTAAGGGTGGAATAAGTAAAAAACTTAGGGCTCGTTTGGTACGAGGGATAAGGGATAATTAATTCCGAAATTAAATTTGAGATAGATTTTTATCTCATGTTTGGTTGGGATAAAATCGTGGTATAACTAATTTCCGGATTAGTTATTCCGGGATAGTAGTGTTTTTTTATCCCTATGGGAGGATGGGGTAACAAATTTTGGATTAATCAGTGGATAACTTGTTTCTCAACCAAACGACCCGTTAGGCATACTTGTGTTTACACAAACCTAATAAATACATGAAATGCATTATATATAAATTGTAATCAGTGAACTATTATAGTAAATTAATGTTATTTAGTGTATAACACTAGTTGTGAGTGAGAATTAGATAGTAGGCCATAAATAAACTTGTGATATGTTATACTTATAACGCTTAGCTAGCTTAACCTTATCCAATTTGGAGTTCAATTTTGTCCGATAAGATCAATTAGTAACTTATAAAGCATGGATAACTCTCCAAGATGCATATGGAGATACTTCTCATTCTCATACTATTTTCATAAGTATATAAGGTGGAAATAGTTAGTCTGTAATCGCTTCCTTTTTTGACAAAATTTATTTCATGATGGTTATGTCTGTGCTACCTTGCGTACACGTATTGGGAAATGTGAAAGGGATTCAAAATATATATATATATATATATATA